AGGTGGTGCATCTGATACTTATTCATTCTCCTACTGCAATCGAACTCGTGGGATCTATGCACGATTCGGAGGGAAACTTCGTACAACATGTAACCGCATTATGGTGTGCTCTTGACCGTGGTCACTTCATTGTGGCACATACTCTGATTGATTTGGGCGGAGCTGATGTCAATCATGGTTTATATTATCCATTGCTAATCGATGCTTCTAGGAGAGGACGACTTGACATTGTTCACTTCTTAGTAGATAATGGATACGCTGATGTCAATCAAACAGTCACAAAGGATGAAAACAAATTCAGTAGTCTGATTCTATCTGCTCAGTATGGCCACCAAAATATTGTCGCTTATCTTCTTGAGATAGGTGCTGACATTGAATATAGGACACACATTGGACAAGACACAGCACTGACTACCGCCGCTAGGGAAGGTCATTTGGAAATAATACAACTGTTGTGTTGGGCAGGCGCATCTGCCACTGCCCAAAATTGTGACGGAAAAACACCCATAGTATTAGTAGCTGAGAACGGTGCATTTGAAGCAATCGATTTCTTACTAGAATACACTCATGATGAGACAACCTTTGATAACCTTGAACTTATTGCTTCCTCATATATGGTCTCCAGCGATGTTATCACACTCCATGAACGTCAGCACATGGTACGCCTTTTGAGGAAATCACTTGAACAACGTGCCTACTTTCATATACCGAAAACAGTGGCTCAACCGATCGTTGTCTATAATTTCCAGAAAGAATGTCAAACAATCGATGAACTTGACCAGATTCAATATGATATTGACTGTTTATGTATCGAAGCACTGCTTATTTGTGAACGAATTTTTTTCATTAGAATGGAAGAGCGATTATTCCAACTGTTACTTCAACATGCAGACATGTGTATCGAAAGAAATCAGTTCGATTGTTCTCTTCATCTGTATTCTCGTCTCTTTCATTTGGATCAACCAACGAAGCTGACGACTATTCTTCACCGTTTCATATGGATGTACTGCAAGATGATCACTGCTCAAATATCAATTCCTGCCGATCAATTTTTGCAGATGTGTCATCTTATTGTCGAATCCTCACATGAGAAATCAATTGATAGATTGATCAAAAATGCCTTATATCTGGTAGCAATTGCAGCAAAGGTATGAAATGACGCTTAGCAATAGTAATAATCATCTAGGAAATAAAGAATTTAGATGTATTACGCATAAGAAAGGAACTCCTAGCGCAATCTTTCTAAAATAAAAATCTACGAAGCGATGATGTTACTAAAATAGTAGAGGAATCGACTGAAAGACTGGTTATTATTCGTTTTAGATCAAAATGATCGTTTAAAATTCTTCTATTGATTCATTTCTGAAAATGCTCTTAGAACTTGAGATAAATTGAGAGAAAATAATTAGCGTAGTCCAAACTCGAAAAATCGAATTTATTATTCACTTTTCTTTCTTATATGAAACTTGAGATAGATCGTCGATCAAATTAAGATAAAATCAAAATAAATATATCTCACTACTAGCTTGTCGAATACTGTTTCAGGTTCTCCAACAATCAACAGTCAGTAATGAAGATCGTCGATCCATCATTCGATGGATCAAAAAGTTATGTCAAAAGCAATATACAACGACACAAGGATTAAATTTATTACATCTGAGTGTTAATGACCAAATATACTATGCTACTGATAATAAAGGAAGAAACGACATCACTTCGGCAATTTCGTAAGTAATTACAACTCATTAAGTTGATTATTTCATAGATAAACATGTTGTTCGACTATTAATTTTCTCCTTCGTAGGTTTCCCAATCTGGATTCTACTCAACTTCTTCTTGAATACGGAAAACGATGGATCGATGTGGACGCTAAGGATCACGATTGTGGTGACACTGCACTACACAACGTTTCTCGTAGTAGTCGCAAAAATGTTCAAGGAAATGCAACGAAGATAATAGAACTGCTTCTCGATGCCGGTGCTCACATCGATTATGTTAATAACCATGGAAAAACACCTCTTGATCAATCATCTGGCATTGGCATACGTACTCTTTTACGATCAAAACAGACACCATCGCAACTCAAGTGTCTTTGTGCACGTCTCATTAATATTCATCAAATTCCCTATGATCATGTATGGTCTAATCCAACGGCATTGACTACTTTTGTACAATTGCATAATCAGCCACCATCAGAAGATGATGATCTTGATTTTGGTTTATTTGACTAAGATTGATGTTGAAGTACGGATTTCGACTGTTAGAAATCATCAATGAATATCAGTCAACTATTTGACCTCTCAACAAAAAAAATAATATTGCATTCACAATCAAACATTGACACGAATCAATATAGAAGTAACGATCAATTTGATATTGACTTGAATAAGTTTGAAGAATTTTTCTTTTATTTGTTGTATGTATCTCATTGTTCTGAAAAAAAAGTTCGTCACATTGATCAATTGTTCATGTTGTCTAACCAATATGTTAAGATTCGGAAAATATGTGTTTGTATGACATAAAAATTGAAGAGCATAATCAATATTTATATCAATTAGATAGAGTCTAGTCAAAATGTGAATATTTAATGATCGATATTTGCTTGTCATTAATTATTTTAATTCCACATTTATTTTCTTGTAGTGTCAAATTATACAGTGTGAAGGGAAATGTTCGAGCAGTTGATTCAAAGAAATCATGTTCAAATGAATATACAGGTTGATTACGTTATTTTTAATAGTTTTGTATAGTCTGCTATATCTAAGTACAACATCGGAAATTTCTTATTTCGATACAGTTGGATAGAGCATCAACTGCTCTATCAAACCATATGGTTTCGATTTTATTTCCTTTTGCTGCACTCGAAAAATTAATAAGTTACAAATGAAGTCAAAAAAATTTTTTTTAGAAAATTGCTGGGACAGAATGAATGACCACATTTTGAACTTTGCTTTTATAGCATCTAATAGGCGTTATTAAAAATGAAACATACCAGAAGATGCGCCGTGAAAAGCTCTACAATTTACATAAGATCGCTTATTTTACTTCTACTCTTTTTGTTTTCAAAATGGACAAAAATCTGACCGATCAAATGTGGCCTGTGCGAGTATTGGTGTCACAGCATTTTTAAAATTTTTTTTAAAGCAATTTTAATAAGCTTTAATATGTAGTTTGTAGAGCTTTTCACGCTGATTCTTTTGGTGCGTATAGCTTTTTTAAGAAGACATAATAGGTGATAAAAATATTAAAGCGTAAAAAGACATATCTTTTTCGTGGNACCACCCGCCCCCCCCCCCCCCCCCCTCAACCCCACACCAACCAACAAAAAAAATAACCACCACCCCCCCCCCCCCCCCCCCCCCATTACAGACTGCAACAACCGTATTCATCAAATAGTCGATGCTGGAGAAAAATAAATTCAAATTAGAAAGCAAAAAAAGAAGATTATTATCGAGTATAGGGTGGGTGTGGGTGTGGGTGTGAGGGTGTGGGTGTGGGTATGGGTGTGGGTGTGGGTGTCACGACTTTGATTAACCACTCAAACACATATACAAACACCCCACACATACCCACACCCACACCCCACCCCACCAGATGGTGATTGTAGATGAAGATAAATAGCAAGTTCAATCAATAAATTAGTTAGTACTTCTTTTGAAATATTCGAGTCTTGATCTCTTCAAAAATGCAATGCGGTTTGAAGAGCATAATCATATACCTCGATTCGAGATTTTGGAAGAAACTCATCAGATGAATGAAAAACAGATGTGCAGATTAATGATATCAATGAATAGTTGGACATTGACAATTTTTCTGTATTTTTAAATATTGTATTCACAGCATTTTTGATCTTATCTTTCAATTTTATCCATACTACTCTATTCAACTGAATTCCTTCTTTACTTAAAATTTCACACATACCTTTCTCTATTAATTCCAACCATTTATCTACAAACCGATCGGCTTCGTAATGATTTAATGACAAGACTAAGTAATGCGCAATAAGTGGACCAGTAAGTGTGGGTGTGGGTGTGGGTGTGGGATGTTCTCATTTCATCCACACATAGACCTACTCCACCCCGCCCCCCACCCCCACACCCCAATTCTATATCATATTGACTTATAAATCAATATGATATAGAATCATTTCAATGGAGAAGAAATTGAAATAATTAACATAATGAAACTTTTCATATTCCATTGATTAATTATCTGAATTTAAACGAAATAAAAAACTATGGTCAATTGTTTTTTGAACTGAACATGATATTAATGATTTATTCTAGTCGGTCATACAGTTGAAAAATATTTGAAAGGTAACTAACAATAATATAAATACTAAACAAAAAGCCCGCAGAGCTCTGTTAGGACAATATTAAACAGTCAATGAAAGAATTCAATGCTAATAGCATTAGAAAAAAAATTAAACAGAAAAGAAATTGTGGGGGTAAAATTTTAATACTAATAAATCGAGGCACCGAATTTTGTTTTTGAGAAAAACGAATGCTATTAGCACTGAAATCCCGTGTTAAATATCAAATTTTTTCCTCATCAGACAACTTTTGCTTATTCATGAAATCATTGCAGTTTAAACCATTAGCATTGCTCTTAGTCATTTTTGTTTGATGCAGAATAAAATGAAAATTAATAAGCAGGTTCACTCAGATAGATGCAAACATGTTTTCTGTTTAGAAACGAATCCAAGTGCCATCAAGCAACTCGTGTTCTTCGATTGACGAACGTACGATTCATAGAGTGGCCAGATAAGTTTACTTCCTGTTTCTGTGTATTAAGGTTCCCGTCGTCGCCATTTATAGGAATGACTTCCATAAGCGAAGGATTCTTTTCCTTTTGTGTTTCTCTGTTGTTTTTATTACGCCGTTGTCGCTTTCGATTATCGATGACTGGATTCTTTTTCTTTAGTTTAACATTATTGTTTTGACATAGAGGTTGTTTATCAAAAAGATATTCCTAAAATAAAATAATATTTTCTCTCGTATTCATATAGCTTGAGCAACTAGAGTTAATCCGACCTGCAATGCCTTCATGTTCGGTTTGCTTATATTGAAATCGATGCTTTCAGGTTGTAAATAGAATCGTTGCCGAGCAAAAATAAAAACACGAAGAATTTCAGTCCAATCTGAAAAAATTGTGTTTGCAAAAAAAATAGATAAAATTTATTACCAACTTTTTACGGATAATTTAGCAGCTAAATTATGAGTGAACATCAATGGATCTTCGATAGCAATAGTTGGATGAAACCATCCATTTTCCGTACGTAATAAGGGTTTAAACTGTCGAATGGTTACAATATTTTTATTATAATCAAATCGTTCGGTGTAATACCGTAAGAATTCAATCCATAAATCACCTGATGATAATTTGTTCAATCCATAATTATTCCATATTTTGTTCTGAATAATAATAAAAACATCATACAAACTACATGAAATAGTATCAAAACTACATACAAGTTTTGTTAAATCATTATAGAAATACACATTCCAACCGACGCATGTTTGAGTGATCGGAGATTCGATTGATTTAGGATCACGCAACTAAAATTTCAACGAAATGGAAAACAATAATCAAGATTATCAATAGAAAAGAATCGACAACTTGTTGCAAAACAGGTACAACAGGCGGTTGAATTTGTTGAAGAAAATGTATCATCATGATCGTATAGGCATAACTCGACAATGTTCCATGACTTGCATCACCGATATTAAATTTCTGAAATATCAAACTTAGAATTAACTCGAGAATGTATCAAAGATTATAATCTTTCAGTTGAACTTATAAGCAAAAAATAAACACATCATTTCGTACTTTTGCAAAATATTTCACCATAACACCAAGTTCACGTACGCGTGGATCAATATCTGAGTACGTTTTTAGTAGTCGAGTATTTTCAAGAGGCTAAATAGAATAAAAAAAAACGAAATATTTTTAAAATATATATTCAATGAGAATATCACATACCAGAATATTATTTAGGCTAATGTCAATTTCAGTGCCAGATTGAGAATGCTTTGCTTTAATGATCGGTATTCTAGCAGTTAGGATTGGTATAACATTTTCAAACATTTTCTTATTTAATTTCACAGATTGAGCTAAATTTTTCAGAACTTGAATGTTAGTTTCGTGTTTCTGGAATACAAATCGAAATCAATTCATTGATAAAAATTATCACAAGCAAAAATACAAACGTTCAGTTCCAATAGAATGCAAACATCGAGATCACTTTGATGAAAATTGAATCCATTGTAGAATGAACCATATCCTCGCATACGACAGTTGGGATACATTTTTCGAAATTCAATTTCAAGATAATTGATAATGTTTTCACGTGTTTTGATACTTTCCTTAGTCGATTTACCTTGCTCTAAAAAAATATTTAGATAATGAAGAAATAAAAAGCGATTTCATATGAAAAAAAAATCTACCTGAAATTTGTTGACAAACCGAAGAAAGTACATTTGCCCATTTTTTGTCAATTTCAGGCAAATCGATTATCTCCGGCAAACACAGTAGGGGACACTGAGACTTTACATGATTAGATTGAAAACACGCGATACAAACTTTCGGAGGACCCTTAGTAATACAAGCAAAATAGCACAGTAATATATTTTCTATGAAAAACTGCCTACAGTCCGAGCTCCAAAATTTTTCTTTTGAAACACGTGAAGAACGTCAGCATGATCATCAAGTGAAATAGCTTCCAAATACGACAGCACATTTGTAGCCATGATATGTTCAAGTTGAATCGATTGTTGATTGGCGGAAACAAGCAAATCTTTCGGGAGCTGTTCGGATTGTGATTTATTCGTTGCATTATCGACCAGTGATGGAAGACCATTGACAATTTCACGCATTTTTTGATTGAATTCATGTACTGTTAATAGAGAGGCAATGAATTGAATAAGAGTTTAGAAGCTCCTTATATTCTGTGTAAGTCGATAATGTCGGTGGATTTTTTGAAAGAAATTTTTTATTTTAAATGTCTATTGATGACTCTTCTTAAACTGTTACCTTGTCTTTGATATTCTAGTCTTACAATATGTTTTTGCTCTTCGTTGAGATTTTCAACGAGTAACTCGAACGAGATCGGTTGTTCATTGGTTTCTTTGTCTGAAGATTGACTCTTGCCGATAATTAATATGCCTTCAGCTTCTAATTCATTTGAGCTAAAACTATTTCAATAAACTATTCTGAATAATAAATTTCGTTCGCAAACCTAGCAGTCTTAACTACAGTCGTATCTTGCTCTTGCATTTCTATTTCATGATCGTTGATAGTATTATCAAATGATTCACTAAAGTTGGTTCCAGTTTCATTGTTAATCTCACAATCTGTGTCTAAATCATCTTGATATGTTTCTTCAAGATCATCTGTATCCTCAGCTGTTTCGTCCATTATGGATAACAGATTTTTTTCATTTGGTACAAGTTTTGGTTCTGGCAATGCCTCCATTCTATTATCAAATGTATGTTTGTATGCTTGCCGTAGATCATCTTGTGTACAGTTTGCCTTGCGTGGAACTTTAAGTAATACTGTAGCAAATAAAGATTTACATGATCGATGCACTTCTTTAATTATCGAATTTTGTTGTTCTAATTCTCTTGGATCCTTTTGACAGAAGTATGTCAGTGTCTGTTCGAATACTCGTCGAAAATATCGAAATGAAGAATTCAATTTGATTGTATAACCTAAATTTCTATCGATGAACATCGGGTCTGTAAAAAAAGATTTTCACAGTATAAAAATCCATATTCGGTGGTACCTGCACAAAACAGATTTCCACTTAATTTTTGTTTTTGATCTTTCTGCAGTGGCATTCGTGTTTGTATAGAAATGATAAATTGATTCATGGAAAATTTTACTAAATAGTAAGAGAAGAATTGAAGAAAGAGCATTTCAACTGATGTTCTATTTTTGGTTTTCCATATACTAACATAATCGTTGCAAATTCTGAAGAACTCACTATATTGATCATCACTTAATGTTACAAGTGCATTATCAATCCCAAATACCTATGAGTTTTTGGCACGAAAAAAATATTGATTTAGTAAACACGAAAAGTAATCACTGACATATTCATGAAGACAAGGTAGAACTGGTTCTTCAATTTGTTGCAAAAAATGAATTAACATAAGATGAAAAACCATTGGATGAAGAGTGCCCAAATCAGGTCTATCCAGAGAGCATATCTGAATCAGAAAATAAAGTACTACAAAATAGATTGTACAACAGCTGACCTTAGCAAAAAATCGAATGAGTCGAAGTAACGGAAGTACACGAGGATCGAATCTTGTATAGAGACGAACTATTTCAGATGAAAAAATTCTTCTCTTGTTATCTGATGTCACTCGTATGCGGATATTCGTCTTGGGCACGATCAAATCAATACATAATGGATCATAATCTGTATTTAAACGCATTTCTTGATAAGTATCTAATAAAAAAACAGCATAATTGAAGAAAAATTGAAATGTATTCATACATACCCGAATTCCGAATGATTTCAAATACTTGTGTTATAGTATTATAAGGTAGGAGTGTATTGACTGTAACATCAACATCCATCATAGGTGAATCATTTGAACAACAAGCAAAATAGAATGATCCATACAAAGTTACTTGAGCGTCTATTTAAAAAATTTCTTGCATCGCTATTTTATCAAATGCATTGCTTGATGACTACCTGGCTTCTTGGAAACAATGATATCTCGTAATTGATTATATATACGTAGTCCTTCTTCAATACTAGTTTTGGATAAGAACTGTTTGATAATAATTTTATCAAAAATACTCTTCAAAACTATTAAATGTGCATTGCTTGTTTGTTGACTAGCGATCACACTTACATTATTTTGCGTCTAGATACAACAACGTATATTTTTTATAAGATAATAATCACTCTCACTTTCTGTTGAGGCAAACGACACTCATTTCTTTGGTTTGGATCATCTACAATAAAAGAGGTTTTCTTCTATAAAATCTTGAATTCTTTGAAAAAATCTATACTAGGTATTTTTTCTCCTTTTGTAGGCCGTGGATTTTGACGAACCCTGTTTTGATCCGAATGCGGACGTTGTTCAGTATGAACACCAGTACGTGTGCTATTTTGCTGCCGATATGATGCTGATCTTGGTTGTTGAGGTTGATTAGATGTTCCATAATATCGAAAGTTTGTAGAACATGGTTGTTGGGGAGCCGATTGATTTGGGTTCAAATAATGGACAGCCGACTCCTGTGCCCACCAGGACCAGTAGTCATTGCTTGTGCCTAATTCAATGAAGTTTTTTCTTCCTTCTTGATCCCTGTTTTGTCTTCGTTCCCGTTTTGACTGATTCATCATGTGTAAATGCGATACAAGTAAAGAGTAAGTTTTTGAAAGAAAATCATAATTGCATTTGCTATTTTTTATATCAGAAACTTGATCAATCTAAAACATAGATGACGTACCTTACCTTTACCTTGGTCTTTAATGTAACAATCTTTAATATGATAAATATTAGTCCAAATGAAACTACTCTTTATCATGTGTATTTGTATCACGAATCGCCGAAATTTCATGGAGAAAAAGCGTTTAATTGATGTAACCAATCAAGAGGGACAGATGAGAGAAGAAGGAAGATATGTTAATTATGACACTCAAGCTGGCTTCAAGTAGATCTCAATGCACTAGTCTTTTCCCAAAAAAATATCGATACTAACCAAAATCCTATTTTACTACTAAAAAGCACCAGGATTCATGAAGTAGTAATGTTCTTCGAATAAGTCCCATTTGGCCTGAAAATGTTGACAAAAAAGACGAGAAGAACAATAGTATTTTTTTCAGCTTCGTAGTAGAAGCAGCCAATGGTATTAGAAATAGAACCAAGAAAACTGAATAAGAAGTCAATGTTAACAATATTAATACAGAGGAAAATAGATGAGTCAGATTTATCCCTTTTTGAGTATGATCGAAAATTCAAATGATAGAATCAGCTGTAATTTTCAAATTGTTCACTTCATTTTGAGACATTCCTTAGTTAATTTATCATCCAAGTTCTTTTCCTACGACCCATTATTTCATCTTAGAAGAACTCGAATTATTTCAGTGTGATAATTCTGAAACGGTTCAATTTGCAGCTTTCACTATATATATATATATATTGCTGTTTACTTACTGCAGCGATCAGGCGCAAAATAACTGAAAAAATGTGGTTTGAAAAAAGACAGAAAAACAACGTCGCAATTGGTTTAGTCGTTCTGTTTCTGTCTGATCATCAAAAAAGCAACCAGACATGTGTTCTTTTTTTTGAATTTTTGAAAATCGACGACTATGATTTATTGTCAACATTTACTTTTCTTCATCAGGAGTGTCTAGACACCTGTTTGTTTTTGATAAGAAACTGTGAAGAGAACGAAACAAGTTTGAGACTATATTATTTTGTACTATTTTCATATCAAAAACATTATTGATGAGAATAAATAATTTGACTCGTTCAGTTCTGCCAATGCAATTGAAGACCAGGTCCACATCGAATTGAAAGTATGCGATCTAAATTGAAAATGAATTATTATCTATGGGTAGAAGAAAAATTTCTCAGGAGGCCAGCTTGATAGGTTTTGAATGTAGAAACACCTCTAAATGTGCCGGAAGACAGCTCGAAGCTATCTCAGTCTGAGCATAAAACAAAATGTAGAGGATGAACTCTATTATAATTTGACTCTTCACAACACATATTTAGTAACTTGATGTTGCAGTGAGGTGTGGGTGTGGGTGGGTGGATAGGGGGCTGGATGCATACTGCAGGTATACTACACTGACGGCCACACCCATACCCACACCCGCCCACACTCACACCCACACACATACCCACACCCACCCACACCCATGCCCACACCCAACTATAACTTAGCTAAATATGTTCGAATTCAATGTTTTTAATACGATTGTCATTATGTCCAGAGTTCATATTATTAATCATCATCTATCTGACGTATGTGTCGTGACTATATATTCCTATGTACATAATTTTTTGTCAATTCTCTACAATAAACTCTTCTGTCTGTTGTATTTTGGTAAAAATTAATCCTTCGCACTTACTACAATAATTTTTAATAAAGGAAATTTTTTTTTATTGACACTTAAAATAAATCCAATTTTCGATTTAATGGCTTTTTTTGAAGAATAGATGAATAGACATACAAGACACATATAAATCAATGTTAAGAGTAAAATTACCTATAAAATGCATCGGTTATATACGAGAGTACAAAGATTGATAGGTATTCAATATTGACCATGTAGTTACATTGAATTCCTGAACAGGTACTGTAAAATTTCTACCGTACGAGTCATCAGTTGAGTAAGGATTTATTGTCATGTATGCGACATGTTAACGGTGAACAAGTTTCATCGGTGCAATACTTTAGTTGACCAAGGATAACTCTAATTAGCAAGTATGTGAGGATTAGAAAACAGAATGAAATGAGAACATGGTACAATAAATGTTGTTTCATTTAAATATTCTGCCAACATAATATCATGAGAGATAATAAATATATACTAGAATCATTATTCGGGATAGAGTTAGGTTAAAATATTAATGAAATTTGTAGGCTTTATTCATGCAATGGTCATCCATAGTGATTTGTTTTAATTAGAATTATGCATATTGTTTATTATTCTTTTGAAACAAATTTTGATAAGCATCTCTTGCTGTTCCAGTTTTTTTTTGGGTGGGGGGAGGTATCTAATCTTTGGATGGCCGATTTCATTCCGAGTGCTTTTATCAAATATTTATATGCCAAAAGTATGAAAGTTTAGTAGAACCTATTTTAATATTACATGATGTATATAGGATATGGTTATCAAATGATATTGCTAACAAGTTACAGAGTAATGAGTGTTTACCATCAGGCGCAAGACATACTCTTGTTCTTTGTATAAATTATATGTATTCTTTTCTATTCTATTTTTAGAAAAAACTGATTTTCGAATGCTTGTGCACAAAAATATTGCTGTTTACTTTCATAACATCAAAAATCAAACTTATCGAAAATGTTAATTCATATTATGTCATTATTTGTTAGTAAAGAATTGAAAAAACTGATGATAATACTAGCTGCATTACAAATAATTACATGCCGCAGTTTGAAACGTTTCGAATTTTTCTATAAAAATGTACGAACATTTAATGTGAGAGCACCCGAGAATAATTGATCATCCTATATTTAAATTGAGAAATATGTCTAGAAAGAATTGCTGTTATGATTGTACATATCTATTAGTGGTAAAACAGCACACACTAACATCCAATTATGCAAAACTGAGAATATGTTAATGAGGCATAGAGGGTATTTTACAATGTATTCAATGGTTGTATGTTCGAGTAGGTCTCACTTACCAGCTAACATCTATTTGCTTTCAAGCGAAAAAAAGAAAAATAAATCTTCAAGTGTTTAGTTGTTCTCCATTCGCAAATAACCTCTAGACACAAACTGTTGCTTCACTCTGCATAATGAATACAACGTAATTATTCGTATGCTTTCTATGAAAAAATCATTGCTTATATACGCGTAGCGCTACTCGAATAACATCATAATTGCGATATATATTCATTTATTGGCACGTATATGTGTATCACTTCGTCAATCAACAACAGCAAAATGAATAGCACCATTAAGATTACGATTTATTTTATATGTATCTTGGTACTTTTAGCTGTGCATTGCAATGCATTCATAGGTAAAAAGTCAGACCGCTCTGGTGGCAAACATGGTTGTGTTCGTCTTGGTGGCATCTGCAATAGTAGTTCCGATTGTTGTGGCCACGATGATCCCGTGAGTGGCCATTGTGTGGTTTGTAATAGCTTTTGGGCTAGTCTCACTGGCAGAGGACATGATAAATGTGCCTGCATTTATCATTCTGCTAGTGTTCATCGTGATACTCAACCTGGCACTAGTAAAGCTTGCAATGGTCCCGATCGATCTGGTAAGAGCGTTTGTCGTGTATATGATACTTCTCCTGGTAAAAGTAATCGTCGTGACAAGAAGCCCGTTTAGAGCTCTGGAAAAAAAGACAACATCCATTACATGCATGACAATTTCAATAAAGTTGTTAACCATCACTAAAACTATTGAACCATATCAATTAGCTGGAAAACTCTCATATTCTAAAATGAATATTATTCCTCATTGCTTTTTAGTTCTTCTTGTTACTTAAAAATAAACACACTGAAATAAAACTTTGTCGAGTTGTTTCTGGGTGTGGGTGTGGGTCTGGCGTGGGTGTGGGTGTGGGTATGGGTGTTGGTAGGGATATGCAGTTTCGGCGAAAACAGTGAATTACTGACAGTGACACACTGTCACTGAGCGAACTGTCTGCAGTGACGCACTGACACTGAGCGAACTGTCTGCAGTGACACACTGGCACTGAGTGCACTGACTCCAGTGTCTACACCGACATTAATATTCACTGAACCAGTGCATACACTGACACTGACTGCACTGGTTCCACTATCTACACTGATATTGGTGTTCACTGAATCAGTGCATACACTAGGCCCTAATGAGCTATGAGTTCTCTGGAAAGAGTTCGTGCCGCTAGCCTCTTGCTGCTGAGATACAACATTTTTACTATGTGTTTTGGAAAAAGCTGTGGTCCCCTCAGGAACATCATGAAAAGTGAGTTTTGAGTTTCCGCCCGAAACTTTTCACATAGATAGGCCTTAGTGAGAATAGTTTATTGTGAAGGTTTCAAATGGGGTGTGGGTGTGGGTGGGTGTCCTATTGTAGACTCATTCATAGCCACACCCACATCCACACCCACACCCCACACCCACACCCACACCCGCACCCACACCCCACACCCATATCCACACCCACACCCACACCATTTTATCTCGATCAATATCTACAAATCACTATATATGTATTATTTATTTTAAACGAGAATGAATTTTTCATACCATCAAAGATAGAAAATCGTGTTGATTCTCGATTATCCCACTAACCATCAAGTCTTGACAAATGATAATCATTAAAATGATTTGAATGTACAAATACTCCACCATTTACATACTATATTTAAACAAAAATAAAATTTACTCTATTTAATCTCGATCATTTACCATATATGTACACCATACAGCAAAATCGACTTGCCAATCATGTAATTTCAATGGTACATTACCAATAGCATGTGCTAAATCCCATTCAAGACAACAACCCTTAAAAAATTCCCAAGTCATGAATAGAAAAAAAATTTTCTTTGAAAATATCGTTTGGTGATACTTGTTCATGAGCAATACGTGTAATAGTTTCAATATCAAATAGTTGATCTGTATAATAATGTGCTCCTCCAATCATGACAAGAGCAATTGAATGACCTTCATGTCGAAGTATATCAACAATATCCTCGGTTCGTAGACAACTTTCATTCTAAAAACAATAATCTTTAGAGAGATGATAAATTGAGATAAGCTACTTTTCGTGCCTTGGTCACAATTATTGCATCTTTAGGGTCATAACCGTGTAATTTAATTTGTGAATTAATTGCATGTTCTTCATATAAAATTTTATATCGATCACCTTCTGGTTGATAAAATGCCATCTATAAATATTTTAAAAAGAAAACAATTTTTAACTTATAATAAATACTAAACGATAAATACCATCATAAAATGAAGGTTTGATAATAATTGATTCATAAGAGCAACTTCGTCGATTTGCCCATCAACAAATAAACTCATAGTATTGGTAAACAAGAATCAGTAAAATGATCATCAACATCTCTGTTAAAAGAAATTGGAATATTCTTTTTTACAAATGAAAAACATGAATTTAACTTACAATGTAACCTAGTCATTCATAAATGCATTCATATAAGTAACTGTTCGTTGAGGCATCAATCAAGGGATTGACTACAAAGATATATACATTCATCAAATGATTCAATTCGTTTTTTTCATCAAAATAATATTTCTTATTTTATACAAACCTTTTGGCAGTGTTCATAATTTTGAATAAAAAAAATTTTGTCTAATATAACCAAGAAGATTATGATCATCCTTTAATAATGCAAATTGTTTGTTATTTAATTCTAATTAATTTTGATGAGCTATTTTGTCAAGATATGATTGTGGTGATTCACCACGATCAAGTTGAAAATAGCTTTGATTGTCTACATTTTTTTAAAGTACCATTATGTAGAAATTAATATAACTATTGTTTATTTAATTATAGTAGTTCAAATCATACATATATATTTAAGTAGTAGTCAGAAACAGAAAAATCCTTATTGATCTTTACATCATTAGACATCATTCAACTTCCTCTTTTTTATTTTCTTTGCTTGAATTCATTTGTGTCTGTGACGTCATTTTTACCTATATTTCTTCCTCGAAAATAAAATCAATAGGAACTGAATAAGACATGAAGGAATGTTATACATTATATTAATCATTCTGCGCATTTTTTTAATAGAATGTAATATGTGACGAATATTGTGTCATCGATCAAGGTCGACTAAAAATATTCGAAGAGGAACAATTGAAAAAGGAAGAGCATGTACAAGGTTAAGTATTTAGTTCTGATAGTAATCTACGCATTACATACTCCTGCGATATTTCGTTTAAATTACATTAATACTATCACAATATCATCAAAAGTAAATAAAAACTAATGAAGAATCTAAAAAACAAATTCTATTGGAATATTACAGTTTGATGATCTTTTCATTTATGTTAATTCATGAATAGTATATTTGTAAATAGCACCAGACTGCATGATTATGAAGTAAAAAAAAATATTTTGATTTAGTATTCAGTTTCTTTTTATCAAAATGAAAATTAGATTTTTGTAATAAATATGCATCGAATAAATTAATTATTACATTATATTGGAATAAACAATTCTAAAAGTATAAGTGAAAGTATATTAATATTTTTCATACTGAAAAAAAAAATGTTTATATGCTATTATTTCTTAACTGAATCATTTGAATATTCTAATTAGCCCGACTTGCTTTGGTCTAATTAAATTAAATATGTAAGGTTCTAATCGTTACATTATTTCTATGAGCAATTTATCTTTTAAAATTCAAATAGAGATGGACACAACACAGGACATCGTTTGCAGCCTCATCCTGTCTTGCAGAAGAGTTGAAGTCCTTATTTCGAATTTCAATCATCAAAGTGCATAATAGTTTATTAATTATTTTATAGTTAATTTATTTAAAAAAAATAACTATAGTCTTGAATAACGATTGATATGATAAAAATATAGACATATATAGAGTTATTATTTTAATGGTCTGTTCATCGCAGAAAATAAATATAAAATACGAACTTGTTTGGGTTTATTATCATTATCTTAGTACATAATGGATGCTATTAATTAAGCAAATAGAACAATGAAAATGCACTTGATGACATAAAAATGATACAAAGGAAAAGAAAATTATANTACTAAGTTTTTTGTTTGGCTTTTGTGCTTCTTTAACGACGAATAAACGCTCTTTTTGTGTTAATTGTCGCATTATTGCCTATTGTACTATTTTACAAATCTAAAACAAAAAACGCGAGAAATAGAAAAGCTGAATATGAATATCGAATTGTCTAAGAGTAGTGTATATAATAATAATAATATGATTTGAAATGCCTTTCTCAAAGGCAAAATAAATGATATGATTCGCGGGCATTACTTTTGTCGCGCACTGAATATATTCTTCTAAGAGTTTTTTAGAAGTGTATACCGTACATACATTTCTTATATTTTTTAAAAATGATTGATAAATTTAATAAAATGTTTATATGCACGTATGTTCATAAAACTACATATTTTTGCGGAGAAATGTTTACTTATATGCATTCTACTGATGAATATTACCTTGAAAGTATAGAAAGAACAATGAACAAAAGAAGAAAATACAAAAAACTTTCTTCAATGGTTCAGGAACTGCTATTTCAACTATCACTTATGTATTTAAGGAAGTTGTATTGCTGAAAAGGCAGAAATAGCAATAGTAAATGTCGCAGAGAAGAAAATCTGTTCAGGGATGTAGGCAAAAAAAAGCATGAAATTGAAGTTGTTAACGAATAAAAACGCTTACAATTTTTTAAAACTCTACATATTTTTATCAGTAAATCCCGTAACGCGTTAAAACGCGTTCAAGAAATCGTAAAAATGGCGTTTTAACGAAATTTGAATGCATTTTAACGCGTTTTATTAAGGCGCTTGTCTGACTGGGAAGTGAAGTACAGGGAAGTACGAGTGAGTACAGAGGAAGTACAAGTGAAGTACGGTGAAGTCTTGCTTTTTCCCTCTTGGGTGTATTTCACTGACGGCCCCACCAACACCATCATTCCTAGTGCTTTTATCAAATATTTATATGCCAAAAATACGGAAGTTTAGTAGAAACTATTTTAATCTTACATGATTTATATAATATATGGTTATCAAATGATATTGATAACAAGTTACAGAGTAATGAGTGTTTACTATCAGACACAAGGTATACTCTCATTCTTTGTATAATTTATATGTATTCTTTTTTATTCTATTTTTAGAAAAAAAAACTGATTTTCGAATACTTTTGAACAAAAATATTGCTGTTTACTTTCGTAACATAAAAAAAAACTTATCGAAAATGTTAATTCATATTTTGTCATTATTTGTTAGTATAGAACTGAAAAAATTGATGATAATGCTGGCTGTGTTACAAATAATTACATGCCACATTTTGAAACGTTTTGAATTTTTGTATAAAAATGTAAGAATAATTAATGTCAGAGCACCCGATAATAATTGATCATCCTATATTGAAATTGAGAAAAATGTTTGGAAAGCCTTGATATTATGATTGTACATATCGGTTAGTGGTAAAACAGCACACTCTAATATCCAATTATGCGAAACTGGAAATATGTCAATGAGGCATGGAGGGTATTTTACAATATATTCAATGGTTGCGTGTTCGAGTAGGTCTCATTTACCAGCTAGAAACTATTTGCTTTCAAAGAAACAAACGAGTGATTAATCTTCAAGTGTTTAATTGTTTTCCATTCACAATTAACCTCTAGACACAAACTGTTGCTTCTCTCTACATGATGAATAAAAAGTAATTATTCGTATGCTTTCTATGAAAAAATCATTGCTTATGTACGCGTAGCGCTACTCAAATAAAATCATAATCACGATTCATATTCATTTATTGGCACGTATATGTGTATCACTTCGTCAATCGACAACAGCAAAATGAATAGCACCATTAAGATTGTGATTTATTTTACATGTATCTTGGTACTTTTAGCTGTGCATTGCAATGCATTTATAGGTAAAAAATCAGACCGCTCTGGTGGCAAAATTGGTTGTGTTCGTCTTGGTGGCATCTGCAATAGTAGTTCCGACTGTTGCGGCAACAATGATCCAGTGAGTGGTCATTGTGTGGTTTGTAATAGCCTTTGGACTAGTTTCATTAGTAGAGCACATGATAAATGTGCCTGCATTTATCATTCTGCTGCTGTTCATCGTAATACTAAACCTGGCGAAAGCAAAGCTTGCAATGGTCCCGATCGATCTGGTAAGAGCGTTTGTCGTGTATATGATACTCCCACTGGTAAAAGTGATCGTCGTGGTAAGAAGCCCGTTTAGAGCTCTGGAAAAAAGACAACATCCATTACATGTATGACAATTTCAATAAAGTTGTTAATCATCACTAAAAATATTGAACAATATCGATTGGCTAGAAAACTCTCATATTCTAAAATGAATATTATTCCTCATTGCTTTTTAGTTCTTCTTTTTACTTAAAAATAAACACACTGAAATAAAACTTTGTCTACTGGCTCGTGAACAGTACTATATACAGTAGTGTGCACACAAAATTACTGTTAGGGGGCCAAACACACTACAGAAGTGACTTAACTTAATTTTGACTTAAGTCCAAACGCGTTCACATCAAACAGTTAAGCCACCAATCAGACAAACGGAGAGACCTCTATGGGGTACGTTCAACATATAAGAAAACTCTAGTTGAATGGCAGATGGCTGTATCATATGTGCAATATTCTTTATGGCGATGATGATTAAGTTTAAATATATTGTTAGAAGGTGCAACATATCGAACAACTTTTGAATCTATTATCTAAAATGAAGAAAAATACACATTTTGTTTTACATGTACATATTTGACTACAGCTGTATGATTATAGTCAATTTTATTGAGTAAAGTCCACTCTAAAAAATCAAGACACATCACATGTATTAACAAGACATTTCATTCGTCTGATTAAGACACTTCAAGAAATTTCTGATTGGTGGCTAAACGTCTTGTTAAGACACCTCAAGTGTCAACGGATAACCGACTTTAGACACTGACGCGCCTTAAATTTTTATGATTGGAGCATTTCAACCAATGTTATTAAGCGTCTTATATCCGTCTTGTTTAGACACTTCTGC